GACCTTGCTGCTCCATTCCCTTGCTGTTCCGCTGCACTCCCCCAGTGCTTTGCCTCAGTGTGGTGGGATCAGATCGGGTGCAATTCCCACATGTGTCTCTCAACCACCTCTTTACAGAGGTCTGCTTCACCTCCAACCTCATTGGCTTCTCATTTTTGTTCCTTTCCTTCAGCTCTGGCTCACTTTCTGTCCCTTAAAGATTTCAAACAAGTCATAATTAGTACTCCCATCAACAATAACCCATGGGCCAACAGAGAGAAAACACCCCCGTTTCCTGAATTTGGTATTGTCATGAGGCACGCATCTTCTGACGATTCCTGAAAGTCCTGCTTCACTCAGTATTGGGATCAGCGAAGACAAGCTCCTTGTAGAGACGCTAGTCAAGTTTGACTTTTGCATGAACATTGCTCCCTCGTTTTGACTCTGCGCCTTCCTTGGAGCACGGGGGAATCTCCTCTCCCCTCTTCCTGTCCCTGGTTATTGCTTTCCTTCAGTACTAATTATTGGGGAGAGGGAAGTTTAGTTTCCAGGTGAAACTTACCTGTATACTCATTTGTTTCCTTTTAAAGAAATCTGCATTAAGGCTCAATGCATCCCTCACACACAGAGAGTTGACACGGTGACCCGTGTTAGGAAGGTTCATTTACTTGTCAAAAATATGCATCGTCGTGTGTGTTAGGTTATGATTCACGAGGACCTTATGAACGAGAGAAGGAAACATTGCCCCACCTTGTCTAACCCACACAATGGTCCCTAGGTTCAAGCCCCTTGTTGCAGCCACTGTGTTGATCCATTTCCTTGAGGAGCTCCCTCTATTTCACTGACCCTATGGTTTCCCAAACATGATGTCCATCTGTAGGGAACTGATCCTGCCTGATAGCATGACCAACGTATATGACACAACGCCTTGCCACCCTCACTGCTGAGAAGCGATCTGGCTGTGCGGCTTCCAGCTCAGATTTGGTTGCTCTTCTGGCAGTTCATGGTATACTATTCTGTGCCAATATTTAATATTGGCAAAGGCATAGATTCTTCTTTGGTTTTCTTTATTCATTGTACAGCTTTCACATGCATATGAAGTAATTAAAAATACCATGGCTGACCTAATCAAGAGCAATTAGTTCTTCTGACATGGCCCTACTCGATACTTGTCCTCATAAAGAGATCACTGAAGATATGGGTGCTATAACAAAGTGTGGTGCAGCAGATGGCGCCCAGTTATTGGAAAGAATAACATCTTGTCTTAAAACTAACAGCCATTTAGGTGAGGTGTCAACTAAGTCTGCATGGAAGCAGCACATCAGCTGGAGTGATCCAAGGATTGTATAGCAAATAGCAAAATCCAAATACAGAGGAGGAAATCAGTATCAGAGCTTAAATTGTGAACACCTGGTTTGCAGAAGGCGAGGAATGATACTGGAAGGCCAAAATATATTTGCAGGGTCCCCATGTGGATTAAGCCTCTAGGGCAGTGGTTCTCAACCTTCCTCATGCCACGACCCTTTAATGCCGTTCCTCATGCTGTGGTGACCCCCCCCAACCATAAAGTTATTTTCATTGCTACTTCATTGTGGGGGGAGGTCAGATGCGCAGGCACTCCCACCCCCTGGGGGCCAGGCTGCACTGGCCCTGCTCCCTGCTGCTGGAGACAATGGGTTACCTCTCTCTGGAGCTTAAGACCATTAGTTCCTCCCTCACTGACAAACTCACTGGCCTCTGAACTTCTTATCTTTTGAGTGGCTGGCTTTTATCAATTTGATCCCATATAGATTGTACTTAAGAGAACACAACGCTCAAGGCAGTTTCATGAGGTAAGTCGAATTCTTGTTGGTTTTAAGACTTCTGGGGACATTTTTGGTGTAAGGTTTAAAGATATTCTTAAGGTGATAGTTTCAGGGGTCCTAGCGGTTTGGGAGTTGAAATTCTGTTCTGTATTGCCCTCCTGAGTCTTTCATCAAATGTTCGGCCACGGTAGGCAGGCACCCTCCACAGTCCTCCTGGCCTCCTGGGAAAGGAGACAGTTGATCATGGAGGCAACGATCCACACACCCATACCCTCTTCCTGTTTGTGGCTCACAGATGC